TCAGTAGCGTCGGGTGGAGCACTACAGTGACGTGAACTCCTGGGGCTGGCGGCGGGCATCGTCCTTCCTGCTGTGTGGTTTTAAGTGCGCTCAGGACTTGGCAGGTACCTGGGGAGGAGTGGGCCCTGGGTGCGGTGTGCTGGTGTCTGCACACAGGCTGTGTGACCGCTCCAGCCCCTCGGAGTGTCCCCTCCTCCCCACCGCCTGGGCCCATCTCTGCCTCTCGTGTTCTTGACGAGGGAGCATGCTCTTGTGGTAAGCCACAAGGCTGAGTCAGGAGATCTGGGAGAAGCTACCTGCTCTGACACTAACATGCTTTGTGGCTCAGGGTGAGACACTTTCCCTCTCAGCCTGCCAACTTCCCCACCGTGCCTCCAACAGGGAGAGCATCGGTGACCTCCCTGCAGGGCCAACGGTTGCTGCAGAGACCAGCATGCTGTGCCTGAGGTGACAAGTCCAGCTCTCTCTGCTACATACAATCGCTGGGAAAGGTCACCCCAAGTTGGTACTAGGAAGACTGGTGCCAAGGGCATTGCTGAAGCCGAAAGGGCTGTGATAAGCTGCTGGCAAAGCGGCAGAGGAGTGCGGCTAGCACCTGAGAGTCTGGAAAGGAAAGGCAGTATTTAGGGTTCAAGTCATCTCAATGCATTTTGGGTAATTTCAGCGCAGCGAGGTCGCTACCTCTCCTCGGCATTGATAACTTGATCCAGGCCCCCAAATTGCTTCATGTCATAACAGGGAGCAAGGGTTTTATTAACCTCTGATCCTCGACACCCCCTCATCAGCACAACAGGCTCGATGAGTGTGTGCAGGGGCACGTGAGTCCCTGGAGAGGAGAGGGACCATTGTCACCTCGCCAGCGCCTGTCGCTGGCCACTGCTGTGCTGAATCCCAGCCATGTGTCAGGTGTTCAGCCCGGCCGTCGGCGTGTCTCCCTTGTCTCCGTGCAGAGTGAAGATGGCCATCGTGAAGAAAGAGGAGACGGTGAATGTTCTTCGGAAACAGTACGAAGTAAGTGTCCCTGCGGGCAGGAGCCCTGATGCTGGGGCAGGGTCTCTGGCACCGGTTTTGTCCCTCCTTGTGCCCCTCTGCCATGTGTCTAACCTCAGCTCCCTTTCCTATCTTGTGTGCTCCAGGCAGCTGTGAAGCGGGCAGACCACCTGGAAGCCCTGCTAGAGCAACAGCGAAAACAGCTGCTGGCTACTAACTAGCAACCAGGGCGCCGTCCCCCTCCCGCAGTACGGCAGGAACAGGGGCTCCCGTTGCCCAGGAAGTTGCTCTGTGGTCGCGGGGCTGGAAGTGGAGTCTCCCCCTCCTCCTGTGCTGTTCTCTTTTAACAACTTCCGTTACTTGTGCCTCAGCCCGACCCCTTGCTGGAGAGGACTCCCAGTGCTCAGGCTTTTGTGTGGTATTTTAACAGTAAACTGCGTGCGTGTTTCTAAAGTCCGTCCGATCTCTGGTTGCTGGGGGGATGAGCAGGTGCTGTGCAGTTGCTGAAAGAGCAAACGTTTGACCCCTTTACTGAGTAGCATCTGGGTATGCACTAGGGCACGCCCTCCCGCCCTTCATCATGCCCTGGCCTCCCCCTAACACCTGCTGCTGCTAGTCCTCGGGTTTTTCTCTTGGTCAGATGCAAGGGATTAGTGTGATCCAGACACTCTGGCTGCCCGCGGTGAATGAGGACTCGTCCCCACTTCGCAGCAAAGGGCTAGAGGGATGGAGCAGAGCGTTTAGTGGGAAATGCACCTTCACTGCTTCCTACCAGCACAGCTGAGCCAGCCCTCAGCCCCCTCTACTCTCCTTACGCGCACACGCCGAGCTGGACGGCGGCTTCCATTCCCCGTTCACCGTACGCTTCTGGGTGTGGCCGACGTGGGTAAACGGCTGTACTGAGCCCATGGCAATGGGGTGAGCGAGCTGTCGCTGTCCCACGGGTGATCAGCAGAAGCCCTGGGTTACATGTCTCTGGTCAGGGCTGTGCTCTCCAGCCTGGCGATCCTGCTGGCTGGTACACAGAACACGCAGCCCGCCCCGCCATCAGTGCCAGGTTAACACTAGCATTGTAACTGCATCAGTCAGGAAATCCCGAGCTAAGGTTCCCACTGGTTCAGGCTGCTCCTCCTTGGCGACTCGCTCACCTCAGGCCTGGTTCTAGGTGATCAGCCCGTACAGTCACGCTCCGTGCCATGCGCAGAAGGTGCTTCAAGCCCGGCCTTCTCTGTAACTGGGGTAGACCCTGGGCGTCGGCTGCGCTCCTGCCAGCGGCGAGGCAGCACAGCAGAAGCTATCTTGTGCCAAGGGAGCGGAATTCAGTCCCCAGGCTTCAGTCCACCACCTGCCACTAGCACTGACACCCTTTAATAACGGGGGGCCTGTTGCATAAATACGCTACCAAGGGAACCGGGAATCAGCAGCTAGGTACCTCTGCTTCAGCATGTCAGGCCACAAGGCTGAGACCGGGGTCTCTTCACCCGTCTCCATTCATTCCAGCAACTCTTCCCCCAGGCTCCTGTCTGCAGCAGTGGGAAAGCAGAGGGATCGGCCACCATTACGGCTAATGGTGCCAGGATCTGCCAAGACAGCGGGCTGGGCTCTGAGCAATGTTTGCTGGGCCCTCACAGCATTGCTGCTCCCTGTGAGGAGGGATTCTCATTGTTCCACTAGAACCTCCGAGGTCAGAGCACCTCGGGAGTTGAGGCTGTTCGTCACTCAGAGCGAAACATTGTGGTGGTGCTTTCAAAAGTTTACAACTGAACGTTGACTTAATACAGCTTTGAAACTTTATTACGCAGAAGAAAAATGCTGCATGTAACCATCTTAACTTAAACGAAACGAGCACAGAAAGTTTCTTTACCTTCTCAAATCTTTTTTTAAACTTTCCCTTTTCTTAGTAGTTTACATATAACACAGTACAGGCGAGTCTCATCTTATGCTGGGGTTACTTTCTGCTGTCAGCGCGTAAAGCGAAAATCACGTATAGTCAAAATTACGTTGAGTGTAATGGCGGGCAGAATCGCCCGCACTACAGGTACAGTATTTCAATTGTTATTTTTCTCTTTTTTGTTGTTGTTGAATTTGCGCATGTTAAATGCGCGTAAGATGAGACTTGCCTGTACAGCCCTGTATTTGATTGATTGATTTGGTCGCTGCTGCTGCCTGATTGTGCACATCCGGTTCCAAAGGAGGTGTGTGACTGACTGGTCAGTTCGTAACCCTGGTGCTCATAATTCTGAGGTTCTACTGTCCCTGCTCTTCTCAGAAGCAAGGCTCCCTGGGATGCCGCTCAGTCTTCCCCATGGCCGGGATCCTGCTGAGAGAGACCCATTATGTGGACTGTTACAGAGCATTGGCGCGTGCCTGCAGGCATGTGTTGACTGGCACTTGCTCTGGGGCCTCCCAGGACTAGGATGGGGTTTTCACCCCCTTTTCTTACCTCTTATTTGTGCTCTGCTGACTAAGGGAGTCCTGCCCATGGCCCACTTGAGAACTGTTGGCACCTACCCCTGAGCTGGTTACCACCATCCAAGCGTTGCCAGTGCTGGGAGCAGGGCGTGATCTGCGGGAGGAGCAGGGAACTGGTTAACAGCAGACCTCAGTCCACTCGCTGTCGCTTCTCCTCTCTGTATCTCAGTTTCTCCATCTGTAGAGTACGGATGATCCCAGCTTGTAAAGCGCATTGGGATCCTGAGGCGACAGGTGCAGCCCATGTGCTCCCTGTCACTCCTGCCCCGAGAGGCCGACATGACATTTCCTGGGGCTTTCGCCAGCCAGCCAGGGATTGCGTGGTCTCACTCTGTCTGCAGATCCCTGTCGGGGGGAGGGGTGAAAGCTCCAGGAAATGTCCTACTTCAGCCTCGGGTCTGTTTCCTCTCTGGGCAGGAGTTCCCCGTCCAGCTCACCATGGTTCTCCGGCTGCGTGGCCAGCAGGTGCATCCTGTGTTTCCTGCCTAGGGAAACGGACCATTGTGCCTAGGCTGAGCTGAGGTTTTTCTTTCATCCAGGCCAGCTAGTGTGAGGCGCTGCTGCTGGGTTAATTCACTGGTGGCCTTGGGCTGCTTCTCTGGTGTCTGTTCCAGGAAGGTGCTGAGATAATGGGGGAGGGAAGACAAGGAGGAGCTCCCTGAAGTAACTTCCCTGTCTTTACTTCTCTTAGCTCAATGGGGACTCTGCTCCTGGATCTGCCACGACAGGGAAGCTGAGGCCCAATCCTGCATGGTGCTGGATGTCCTCAGAAGGCAGTGGGAATGGAGGGTGCTGAGCATTCCCAGGAGGGGAGCCTGATCATGGAGGGGACAGGGTCGCCCCCAAGTTGACAACAGCGGGCTCTACTCCCCCTGAAATGGATCTTTACTGGTTCCCAGTGGAGCAGATTACTGTCATACCAGTGAGAAAGGTCCACAGTCATTGTCTTCAATACACAGCAGTTTATTGAGAAGGAATTACAAAAGTGGTAAGGGGTTATATTAAGCACATAACTCCTATGTTAGACATTTAAGAGCTATACATTAAGAGAGATGCATTCCTCTTAACGACTGTCTCTCTCACAAACATACACAAACAGGCCCTGCGCTAGCCTCACACAGTTCCTGCTTGGCAAACAGCGAAGGGGGCTACCAATTTTATAGACGGCTTCTTCTCTGCTGGTCCGTTCTTCTCAGCCCTCTGGTCTGCCTTGGGTTCCCTCGAGGCCAGGCCTTGTGCCTTGAGACCCCTCTGGTCACAGTCCTACGTGAGCCCACGAAGCAGAGGTTTGGCTATTCTGTCGGGCAGTGTTGCTTCTTCAAGAGTCAAGTAAGGAATCTCAACCCCAGTAATGTACTTTGCTTGGTGCTCATACTCGTTTTCCTCAAAGGAGTCACATGTCTTACAAGTGTCCCCAGGGGGTGTGTGGTTACTAATGTGATCTGATTTGGGGGGGGAGGGATAGCTCAGTGGTTTGAGCATTGGCCTGCTAAACCCAGGGTTATGAGTTCAATCCTTGAGGGGGCCACTTAGGGATCTGGGGCAAAATCAGTACTTGGTCCTGCTAGTGAAGGCAGGGGGCTGGACTCAATGACCTTTCAGGGTCCGTTCTATGAGATAGGTATATCTCCATATATTTTTTAAGGGTCTGGGTGGTGGTATCGAACGAAGATTACCCCCCATTTACTCACTCATCAGTCATTCACTCTGGCTCTCCTTGCTGTAAGGTCACTACAATTAGATCGACCTGTGCTCCATGCTGGAACTTTATACATGTGATATTTACTTTTGCATGGGCCCATATTTGCCGACCAATAGGTTCAATATCAATCGTACACGCAGACTTTGCCAGTCCTTTATCAAATCTACTTCTGCTCAAAGGGACCCTGCTCCCAGGATCCTTTGCAGCCCTTCAGCCATGTTTGTCATGTCAAGTTGTGCTCACACCATTCCTTCAGCACGGCCACACCAATCTGGCACCATCCCAACAGTCCCCCATTCGATATTCAATTACCAAAGAGAATTGTAATATCGCATCAATCAGACCTGCAATTTGTACGCTAACTATTAGATCCTGTGTCTCCTTTTCTGGTTTCTATAAAACTTAAAGCATTATCTTGACATGATTAGTAACATAAGCCAACAACTCAATCTTATAAATTTTCCGCAAAGCTTGTATTTCCTTGTATTGCTTACGCATCTGATATCCCCAACAGAAACGCACAAGGAATAATAGGGCAGTTCCAGAAATCCAAAATAACATTGCCCATTCAACTCCATTCCATGTTGTGACTTGACATACAACATCGTACCAAGCACACATTTGAGATCTTATTTTTTTTACAGCCTTTTCAACAATTTTATACTTTCGGGCAAGCATACCTTTAACAGATATTATCAGTCTAGTGACCGTTCTATTTGGTCCAGTGTGCCTTGATGAGTTTGTATCTCCATATCCCAATCTGTATCATTCCACTCCCCCTCCCTCAAATTTGGCGATGTTAATCTAGGGTGAGGTTTTAGTCATCTGAGGGTGCCATTGATATTGTTCGTACTGGAAATGAGTTATAATCTCCATGAGTACACCACATCCCTTGGTCCATAAACCAGGTTTGGTTGGTTGGTTGTTACATTACCCTTTTCCTTTTGATACCAACATATATCTTGGTTTATTTCATATAATCCCCACCAACCATTTTTCCACTGTAAATTCATGGCGAGATTACCTCCTTTCCATTCCAAATTCCAATTTCCTTCACACCCATTCAGGTCTCTGTTTTCTAGGTGGGAGTAGGAATTCAGGACCTGTCATTAACTCAAAAGGTGGGTACTTACTTCCAGCGTGTCCCAAGGCACTCATGGTCATCAGGAATGTGGGTAAAGCAGTTTCCTAATCTCAGCCTTGTGTTTGAATGTGCTTGGTCAAGGCTCTATTCTTCCCACTTTTCCTGCACTCTGGGTGTGGTAGACTAGCTGCCATTTCTGTTTGATTCCCATCATTAACAAGAATGCTTTTACCACGGTCCCAAGATAGTACCTAAGTATTCAACGTCTTGTACCAGCTGTGCCTTGTCCCATGGTAATTTAAAGCCTGTTTCCTCCGCTATTCCCAGGACCAGTTTAGTTCGATGTTTACACTCCTCCTGGGAAACGGCTGTTATCAGTATGTCATCCACATCAGAAGTAACCCCCGGCTTATCCAAATCAGAGTTGATCCCACTTCCTTGTCACATGTGCATGTGCTATAACTGAAGCATCATGGTAACCCGCGGGGACACGTTGAAATGTGAGCTGTTTGTTCTGGAATGTACAAGCAAATCGAGGCTGACTCTCAGGGGCTAATGGAATGGCAAAGAACCAGCACTATCCAATACAGAGAACCAGTTAGCAGCTGCAGCTATTCCCGCCAGTGTAGCTGGGAGCTTAGCTGCTATTGGTGCCATCGGGACGCATTGATTTTTCTATACTCAAGTGTGAGGCACCACCTTCCGTCCGCTTTCCGCCCAGGCCAGAGTGGAGAATTGTATGGACTTCGGCACTCCACCACCACTTCTTGTTCCTTTCAATCCTGTAGCCGTTCTTCTATATGTGGAACGGCTTCGGCAGGATAGGAATATCGAGGAACTGGTTTTACAAATGTTCCTACAATTTCCACTGCTGCTTGTATGCCCCCAATTTGGATTTCTTCTTGGCCCACAGCATAGGGAACTTTTGTGTCCAGTCATGATCTGGTAGCACCACAGCTGCAGTGGCTTTGCAAGCTCCTTTCCTCTATCCTCCTGAAATCACCTGCTCGCTCATAATCCGTCTCCCCTTTCCACAGCCAACCTCCTGCCAGATCAATGATCCATTTCTCCTGCTGTACCACATCTGCACCTGAGATGGCATTTTCAGTCCGGCTGTTACAGACCCACTGTATCTGTCCAAAACTTACTGTGTCCTATCACCCGTGGCAGGTTTTTCAATAAAATTCCTTTCGCTCCTGTGCCCTGAAATCCAAATAAAGGAATAGTCTGTCCTTTCTGCACGTCCTCCTGCACCGATTTCATCAGCGTTGCCTCCGCTCCAATATCAATTAATACTAGCAACCATTATATGTTTCCTTCCATCCCCACCTGCCCCAGTTCCACATAAGGTTTACCAGTTACGTGGGGCTGCAGTTTAGCCACTAACATTCAATCTTGGGGGCAGGGGTTGCTAAGGGTGCGGCAACCCTACTGAGATGTGGAGCTACTCTGACGGGAAGCTGCCACGTCCATCTGAGCCAATTCCTGGGACAACAAGCCGTAAGGGCCTACCACATCTCCCGCTCCTGTTCCCGCAATCTCAACAGCCCTACCCCCAGGCGATGGCAGAGGCTGTAAGTTGTTCCCTGCCAAATCACTCACAACATTTAACAGAACCTCTAAAGGTCATCCATCTAAACAAACCATATCTGCTCCTTTCTCCTGGAGTAAAGCCCATATCTGCACTCGCACTGATCCTCCACCAGACCCTCTGCGTCCTTTGTTGGGTTGTCTCATTCCACGTTCCATACCGGCGTGATTAGGACCGCTGTCGCCTGCTCAGTTGCAGTAAGAAACCTCGCTGACTGCCTTCTGGGAAGAGCCACTTCTGCTTATTACCTTTTCGGCCTCTCAGGTCATTTTAATCAATCTAGCCTGATCCAACTTCTCTTGAGATCCTATCAACACTTTAATAGGTTCCCTTAAATCATTGTATAACAAATCTGTTACTTGCCCTTCCTCCATATCAGCTAGAGACCCTGCTAACAACAGGCTAGCACAATAAGCCGTAACTGACTCTCCCTCCTCATGATGCATCAGCGAAACTGCCTTTCTTAACTCAGCGGGGGTTAAGAAATCCCGAGCTATCCTCCATCCTGCAGCCTCTGTCCTCTCGATTGAACTCATTTCAAGCTCTGCTAACACTGCAGCCATTCAGCCATGTTTCAGTCATGTCAAGTTATGCTGTGACGTTTCCCTGGTGTTATCTAGACCGGTGATCTGCTCGCTCACTCCAGCCCATGATTCTGGGAGCCAGCCTGACCCTGCGCTGCTGTGAGAACTCCCATTCCCGGGCTGTTCACGCACAGCCTCTGACATGTAAGCTGCTTGGATTGTGCAACCGAATGACACTAGCCAGTATCTCCAGTCCCAGACACAACCTAGGAACCTCCGTCTGGCAGTGTCCAGTTATGCCCACTGGACACTGCAAGATTATATGAGTTTGTCAATTTAACAAAGAAATTGATCTGTACCAGGCTTGTTATCCTCAGGGGAGCCTCTGACACGCTTCAAACCAAACGTGCTGCTTCAGGTAGAACAAACGAACAGATTTATTAACTACAAGGATAGATTTTAAGTCAAAGCACAACCAGTCTGATTTGGTCAAATGAAATAAAAGCAAAACGCATTTTAAGTCGATCTTAACACTTTCAACACTTAACACTTACAAACTTAGATGCTTCTCACCACAGGTTGGCTAGTTGCCTTCAGCCAGGCTCTCCCCTTTGATCAACGGCTTGGCGGTGGTGTCTGTAGATGGAGGAGGAAGAGAGAGAGCATGGCAAACGTCCCTTTTACCATGTCCTTTCTTTCCTCTTGGCTTTGCCCCCCCTTCAGGGTCGGGCGAGCATTACCTCATCGCAGTCCCAAACTGACCAAGGGGAGGGAAGTGACTCACTCCAGAGTCCAACAGATCCTTTGTTGCTGCCTAAGCCAGCGTCCTTTGTTCCTGTGAGGCTGGGCTGGGTTTGTCCCATCCATGTCCTGATGAGGTGTGAACTGCCTCTCTGTTCTTGGAGAGTTTTGCCTGGGCTTGTTTTAAGCCACAAGGGCACATTTTCAGCCTCATAACTATATACATGAAATTACAACCTATAACATTACTAGAACAATGCTCAGTGCATCATGAGCCTTCTGAAGACACCCACCGTGACAAACTTTGCATTGGCTCCCACACAATCATAAGGATGAACATGGGGGTGCAGGGTGTTCCCCCGAGATACGCTCCCACCATTCATTCAGTATGGCCACACTGATTTGGCACCATCCCAACACCCCAGACAGACCATGGCGGGGGAAGGGGATGTGAGATGGATGGCAAGGTGCGGGAGGGGCCTTTCTCTGCTCCAAGATGGGCTTGTGGCTCTCCTGGTTCCCCAATGTGTTCTTGTTTGGATCCGTCCCACGGCCTGTTAAAGGTCACAAGCCAATTGCTGACCTTGAACACAGCCACCTGCCGGTGAGTCAGCCCTGGGCTCACGTGTGAGCATGGGAAGCCGGGCCACCTGTGCCGGGGAGTGGGGAGCTGGGGCCGTGTTCTCTGTCTTCCCTCTGAGAGCAACCAGGCTGCCTTGCTGTGCGTTAACCATGCTGCCCGCGCCCTGAGGCCAGGACGGCTCCTCCAGGTCTGGGGGCAGTTACTGACCATAGGGGAGAGAGGAGGAGTTGGGACTTTTCTGCTTTTCCTTTACCACCCTCCCCACAGACAGCAGCAGCATAACAACCTGCAGGATGATGCTGGGAGTGTGACCTCCCTGGGGGCCATGCCCCAGCCGACATTCCCACAGGGTTGGTCTGAGAGGGCATCGTGCAGCGACCGGCCCTTGGTTCGGGCCTGGGTGCTGTTGACCCAGGAAGCAACCCCCCCGCCCCCTGCAGCGTGTGGCCCTGAATGCGTCCTGCTCAGCTAGCTACCAAGTTCTCGGCATGCGCCCTTTTCCACGCTGGCCGGTCTCATTGGACTGACCTCTCTGTTCTGTTTTGAAGATCTGATAAAGGACACCTAGAACGGTCTAAACAAACAGCCCTGGGGAAATTCCTCCGTCTGGAGGAATGCAAACCCAGTGAGTACTTCAGACTGCCCGGCCCTCACAGGCTGTCCCCAGCAAAGGACCTCCTCCAGTGTGCAGATGTTACTGGTATGGTGCAGGAGAGCCTGGCTGCAGCTGGCTGATCAGACATCCTTGTATGCTGCATCTGGGGGTTCCGTTGTGGGCTGCACCGAGCTCAGTGCACGTACGATCCGCCCGCCCATAATTTCTGGTGCGACCAAAGGTGCTTCAGAGACATGTCCCAGGGCTGGAAAGAGCCCTCTGTGATCAGGCAGTGCCGCTGGAAGGTGCAAAGGCAGGGAGGAGGCCCGGGCAGGGGCAGAGAGCCCCTATGGGACGGAAGCTAATGGAAGTGGGGTGGCTGGGTTGGAGGTGGGCTAGGCAGGCCGGGAGGTGGACCGAGGCTGGGTGGGTCGGTGGACGGGAAGCCACATCTTGCATAGCATGGAGTTCTCCTTGCAGATTCCTAGGAACGGTCTCTTCCCCTTCCCCCTTTCTGTGCCGCCCTCTTCTGGGATCCTTTCCAGTCCGGACAGAGCCGTCCACTCCACTCCACGTCCCATCCGCCTGATCTCTTTCCGAAGGGCCCTCTGCTGGCAGAGCTGACGTGCTTCAGCCTCGAGGCTGCCTGGGATCCTGGAGAGAGGCAGCTGGGTTAGAATTCGGGCGGAGAGGTACGAGGTGGGGGGATCCGGAGGGGCCGCTCAGGGCTGTGTGCACGAAGAGGCCGACCGTGAGCCGGGTTTGTGTGTCTGCACCTGCTCCACAGCTTCCACGGGGCCGCGAGAACCGCCGTGTCGCCCAGACCCTGCTCCAACACCTGCCGGTGCCGCTGCGCCAGCCATGGTCCGCCTGCGAAGCTGGACCCTGCGCTGGGCTCTGCTGGGGGCCGGGACCCTGGTGCTTCTGTACCAAGCCAGGACCCACTACAGCCGGGGGAGCTTCCAGAGCTTTTCCTACAGGTAAAGACCAACCGGTCTCCTCTCTGCTCTCGGAGGGCTCTAGCTGCGAGGAAGGCGACCCCGTCCCTGCCGTGGGTCTCCTGTAGCGCAGCATGTAGACTCCAGCGATGGGAGCAGCAGAAACGCGTGGCTAGGGTGCCGTGTTCTGCTGATCTGGGGGGATTTCCCTGCCTTGGGGCTCTGCCAAGCTGCCCCTGCCAGCGGTGGCGTCTCGCCCTCGCTCACATCTTTGTGCCAATATTGTGCCCTTGGAACTTTCCGAACAGCAGGCGGATAATGATTAGCAAACCCGGGGACCCCCTTCCCCCTGTGACTTTCCCTCTACCCCTCTGGCTGCTTCGCGGTGGGGTGTGGGGCCCATCCTGGGGCCGCCCGGGCCAGAGGAGCAGGGCGACGGGCTCTGGGGAGCTGGCTGTGAGGCAGCGTTGCAGGCCAGGGGATTTTTGCTTTTGAAGCAAACGAACCCCCGGCTCCTTTTTGTGCGTTCACCCACTGCCCTGAATGGCGTTTGCAGGGGGGGGGCTGCTGTGAGGCAGGAACGGCTGCCCAGCACTTCACACTCAGAATCCCAGCTCCCTACGGTCCCGGCCGGGGGGGTCACGGGCCCCTGCTCCCGCTTCTGTCTGCCCTACAGAGCCGGATGCGAGCCCGACTCCCCTGGCCTGCCTGTGGCCCTCCCCTCAGCGGGGCTGCTGCCCTGCCGCCCTGGCTTAGCACTGGTGTCTGTGCTGAGCTCTAATCCTCCCCTCACAAGCAGCGACTGGGCCCGGGATCAGGAACAGGATACGGAGCTTTGCCTGTCTCCTCGGGGGAGAGCTGAGCAGGCCGGGCGGCTGGCGCTGCCCCTCCCTCCTGTGTGCGGCTCCGGGGTGGGGAGCTGCTCCCCCTGCTCTGTGCGTCGGGGTCTTCATCGCTCCAATCCAGCACCTCAGAGGGTCGGGTCCCATTCCCACATCCCCCCGGGGGGGGGGGGAGGCAGGGTTCTGGTTGTGCAATCTCGGGGCTTTAACCTTTGCGGTGACCAAACTCCCATGCCTGGGGGCAGAGCTGATTTGCAGGAACAGGGGGGCAGGGAGGGGGCAGAGCCTCCTTTAATGCCCTGTTTCTTCCTGCGTAGCTGCCTTCATATGGCACCGCTGGCTGGCACTTCCACGGGTGCCGTCCTGTAACTAGCCACGGGGGGCGCAGTCCCTAGCTACAGGGGCCAACCATGCAGCCCGAAGCAGCAGGGCCCGCGCCCCCTCTGCCAGGCAGACACCTTGCCAAGTCGAGGGGGAACGCACTGTGAAACTGCTCTCTTCTCTGCCCCCGGCCCCAAGGGATCCTCTCGGAGCTCGCCAGCCTGGAGCCAGAGCCATGACAGCGCAGGCACCGGTGACCCCGCTGGGCAGTAGGGCCCCCAGCGCCACGCTGCAGCCGTTCTTGGGGGACCTGTATGGCCGGGACGAGACGTACCCGAACTCGGTATGCACTTGGGGGGGGGTGAAGGCCTGGGGGCTCCAGGCCGTGGATTTTTTCCTGGAGGGGGAAGTGTCACTGCGCGGTCGCTCACAGGAGGGGTGTGCCGTGCCAGTGAGGACAATGCTGGGCTCCTGCCGCCAGGCTCCCGTCATCCCCCCTCGGCGACCTCTCATCCTGCAGCTCCAAGGGGCCAGCCTGAGCTCCCCTGCATGGCTGCCCAGACCAGGGGCCTCCTGGTTGTGTCTAGCGCTGGCCTCGAGCTGGGCTCACACAAAGACCGCTCCCCCCCGCCCCCCACTGGTAGGCCCCCCCACCCCCTCCTGGCGGGGCTGCCTGGCTCCTCCTCATCCCCCGCTCTTCGGGTTTTGCTTTGCCAGAGGTGCCCCAGTAGCATCAGGAAGAGGATCGCAAGCACCAAGTTCAGCAGCGTCTTCCTGGAGGCCATCCCAGTGCTGCAGTGGGCCCGGCATGCCCGGCTGGCTGAGTATCGACGCCTGCGGAGCTACGGGGGGGCCCACGGCTGGCAGGAGGTCGGCTGGCCCGGTGAGAGCTCGTGGTGGGGCGTGAGGGGCGAACGGGGCCGAGGGAGGAGCTGTCTGTCGCCCTGAGAGCCGAGCGCTGGCCGCTTGTTCCCAGGAAGGCTGGGGCCTGGCGCTGCCCTGGGGGTGACTCCCGCCCCTAGGAGGCGGTGCTGGGTCTGCTGTGTGGGGAGCAGAATCTGCCTCGGTCTCCAACCCGGCTAGCACTGGCAGCTGGGCACCCTGCTCTGCCACACACACTGGAGTTCCCCTTGTGCCCCCGTGCCTGGAGGTGAAGCCTGCCGTGTGCCAGGCACGTCGGCCGCCCCCGGCTCACCCTCCGCCCCTGGCTTGTGGTTCCAGTTGTGAGGGACGCGCTGACCCGTCTCAACACGTCGGCCAATGAGCGCATGTTCGACGCCCGCCCCGGAGCTGCTGCGGGCGTCTCCCCCTGCGTCCGCTGTGCCGTGGTGGGCAACGGTGGTATCCTGAACGGCTCCCGGGCAGGGGCTGCGATCGACCGGCACGACTACGTCTTCAGGTGAGAGCTCACTGGGGGGCTGGGCAGCGCGGTGCGGGGGGGTCGTACCTGCCCCAGGTGAGAGCTCACCAGAAGGGCTGGCTGTGCAGTGGGGAGGTCGTTCCTGCCCCAGGGGAGAGCTCGCTGGGGGGGCTGGGCAGCGCAGCGGGGGGAATGGGGGGGGGGAATTGGACCTGTACTCAAGGTGACAGTGCCCCCTGCAGGGCCCCCAGCAACACGCAGGCCACAGAGGAGTTCACTTAGTCGTGCACCGAGTGAGTGACGTTTGCATGAGGGCCGTGGGCTGGGGTTGTCGCGTTTGCGCCGCAGGCAGAGCATAGCACAGGCAGAGCCGGAGTCTCCCCCGGCACGAGCAGGAAGAGGGGCAGGCTGGCCAGGGGGTGGCGGGTGACACACATGAGCAGGGCAGGGTCAGATGTTGGCCGGTGCTCTCTGCTCCCCATCGGTAGCTGTTTCGCCTGCTCCAGGACGGAGCCGCGGGCGCCTGGTCCCCTGGGCCGAGAGCTCGTCTGTGGCCCTCGCTGGAGAAGCCCTGCGGCAACACCAGATCCCTCTGGCTCCAGCAGCCCCAGGGCGTTGTGGGAACGCTCTCTCCAGCACTGGAAGAACATCCCTGTGGCCGAAGCTGCGCTTAAGGCGGTGCGGGCTCTTTCGGCTCTCGGTCCCCGGAGTGGCCTGCAGCGCTGACTCTCCTCCCCTCCTCTCCTCGCAGGGTCAACGGGGCCCTCACCAAGGGCTTGGAAAGAGACGTGGGCCGCAGGACCTCCTTCTACGTCTTCTCCACTAACACCATGATGAACTCGCTGCATAACTACGCCAGCAACGGCTTCCGCCAGCCGCCCCAGACTCTGGTGAGGGGACGCGCCTGCCCCGGCCGTCACACGCTGATGCCGCGGGCTAGAGCCCGGGTGTCTGAGCAGCGTGAGCAAGGAGGCAGTGTGGCCTAATGGATGGAGCACTGGACTGGGACTCAGGAGACAGGGGTTCTATTCCTGCCCCAGCCACTGAGCTACTGGGTGACCACGGGCGAGTCCCTCTCTCCCCGTGCCTCAGTTTACCATCTGCACAATGGGGAGAATGATCCTGATCTGTAATGTGTTGTGAGATCTACGGATGAACATCGCAATATTATTAATTTTATCATCTCACGCACCGCTCTGCCGATGCCCTGCACTCCCAACCCACAGCCCCTCTGCTAGCCCAGCCCTGGCCTCCCCACACTGCCTCTCCTGATGCACCTCAATATTAGCCCTGTTGTGGGGCCTATCTTGAGCCCAGGCTGCCAGGTGTACTGAACGCCAGGGGTGACTCTGGGATTTCCCAGCCCCGGGCCGAGCACGGCTGCCTTGTCACCCCCCCTAGGTCAGGCAGCAGCAAACGAAGAGCCCAGATGAGGGCTCCATAGGGTGGGGAAGGCAGTGCTGGGCCAGGGGCCAAGACCCCATTAATCGACGTATACATTGCAACAGGAAACCAAGTACATCTTCCTCCCGGACCACGACCGAGATTACCTGCTGCTCCGGGCAGCCCTGACCCACCGCCCTGTCGACAGAGGCCCAGATGAGGGTGCTCGGTGAGTCCCGGGGCAGGGAGGAGGGTCCATGGTTTGAAACAGGCTGCTTGGTTCCTGTGCTGCCCAAGGTCCGTGACACGCTCCAGGAGATCTGTGCGCTCACTGCTCACCACACGAGGGGAGCTGGGTGCCCGCCATCCATGTAACGCTTGGGAAGTGGGGGCCAGGTCCCATCAGGCACAGGTAAGGGGGCAGTGTCTGTTATGGGGGAGCTGAGAGCCCACGACTCTGCTGACCCAGCATTTCGGAGCCTGGTGCTGCTTAACAAAGTTTTTTGTGGGTGAATTTCCTTTGTATAACAACCATGTGACAGAGGCCAGCTGGCAGGGGTCCCGGCATGGGGGCAGGGCTCTGTGAAGACTCCTGAGGCAAAGTGGAGCAAACCAAGGCCTGGAGATCTCTGCGCGTGGCCCAGGATAGACATGGAGGCTCTCTTGTGCAGTACAGGCCTCTGCTCTCCGCCAGGTGCCGGACCAAGCTTCCCTGCCCGTGGTGCCCCAGCGTCCGGTCGCTAGCCGCAGCAGCCTGCTCTGATGCTGGTCGTTCAGCGAAGGGGCAGCAGGAGCCCCCGCAAGCCCGCTCCTTGGGGCTTGGTTAACGTCCGCGGAGCTGGGGGTGGGAGTGCTGAGCTGGACGGGCCATTGTTCTGCTGTGACCGGGTGGATTCTCACACCAGCGCGTCTCCTCCCCACAGGCCGGAGCGATACTTCGGGAACGACCTGCGGGCGGAGAAGTTTAAGATGTTTCACCCGGATTTTATCCGCTACGTCAGGAACCGGTAACGATCCTGCGTCGGAGCCTCTGGCTGCAAGTGCTTCCCGCGGCCCTGCCCTGCCATGGGGGGAGGGCTGGATCCAGGGCCCCGCAGCCCCAGAGCCCTCGAGCGCTGCAGAGATGGAGCCTTTGCCCCCGGGGAGGCAGGGAGGGAGCCCAGCTGATCTGCAGGGCCTGTGTGGCTGGCTCGCAGGAGAGCCATCCGCCAGAAGACGGGTAACTGCAGCGGGGGGATCCTCTGTCCCAGTGCCAGGTGGGTGAATTCTCCGTGGGGTGAAGGCACGGTCCCCACCAGCAGCTGTAGTCTTCCCTCTTCTCTCCTGGCTGGCAGGTTCCTTCGCTCCGGCATTTTGGACACCCCGCAGTGGAGGCTGTACCGTCCCTCCACCGGGGCAGTGATGCTGTTGGCTGCCCTCCACACCTGCGATGAGGTAGGGACGGCTAATAACCCGCTCAGGCTACTCTGCCCTGACCACAAGGCAGAAGGTGCCATCTGCTGGTCGCAGGGCACACTGCCAGCCTTAGGACGGGAGGGACTCGGTCATTTCCTCGCCCTCCCCAGCCCCTGTGCTGGACTCCTTGGACAGCAGCCACGGCTCGCCTGGCGGGCTGCGCTGGCTGCTTTCACCCCTGCGGCCTGCGTTCCCTCCGGCCTCTCTCTGGAGCCTGCTGGTCGAGCCCATGTGCCTAACCCTGCACCCCTGTGTTGCCTGGGCTCCAGCCGTTGCATTGGCCTGCGCTCATTGTCCCGCTGCGGTCCATGCGCCGTGCCCGCGGTCCAGGCCTGGTGTGTTAGCCCTGCTGCGAGCCACACGCTGCAGTTAGCGCATGTGTAGTTCCCTCATCGCTGTGGTGATGGCTCTGCCCTGGTGTGTGGCACGCGCGGTCCCCGTGTCTGGCCATGCAGCCCTAGTGCGTGGCGCATCGCTGCTGCTGCAGGGCTCCTGCCCTGCTCGCTTAGCTGGGAGCTGCAGGAGAGTTTTATCTGCACTTTCCCAGTGGGTGCAACAATCTCCCCCCCCCCCCCCCCACCGGACCTGGCAAGACCCTCATGAGGGTGACACACCCACACACCCACGGGAGCGGGTCAGGGGAGGCC